CAGATCGATAGAAACACACGTGCTGATAATAAGTGAACAGAATGTGTGAGAGAAAGCAGCCTCTCATTATAAGACACTGTGAGTCTCTGCATGCTGCAAAAAGCTTCGTAGCTGTATACTGACTCCTGAAACTACAACACATCACACTGACACACACTGTGTAAATCTCCCTGCTCTGATTAAGCCTTGCGATGTCTGAACACAATGCCAAGCACGCCAAAGGAACTTTATGCCGGTGGTGAGCAGCACTCTGCATCTGGTATCTTAATGGAGCGGTCACAGTGTCACCGTTGTAATAAAGGTTTTTGTGATTGAGTTGCATGTTAATAAATCTGTAAATGTTATATATTTGCCAGTTTAAGTATCATGATGCTGGTTATAACTGGTTGCAAATGTTAAGATTAAATATCTCTTTAATTGATTATTTATAGAACTCCTGATATTATGTCACTAAGATTGCTTTTGTGGTTTATTTTAATAGCATCAAGCTGTAAAAACAATAAGTTAAATGGCCGTTCGACTCTATAGCTGTTGGAAGTATTGCCATAGTTGTGCGCTACTACTGGAAAACTTGCAAACCTCACAAAATGGAGGCAAATTTATGGTCTACAGCGCCCTCTTGTGGACAGATTGTGAAATATTGCTTGTGCAGCATATACCTCCCCAGCAGAGGGTCGTATTATTGTCCATCCAATAATATTTCATTCAATATTCAATATTTATTTTTTCCAGGAGCCCACACTCACACGCTATAACATAATGTGTTCAGTCATGGCTGGATTAAGACTGGATGAAAACAGTGTTTAAGGTGTCTCTGGGACTTTTTGAAGACAATTACCCAAATTCTTAGGTAGCTGCAGTCTGTCTTACAGAAGACTTGTAAACACCAGCGTTTCAATGCAGTTTTCACAAATGGTCCTTAAAGCATCGTAAAAACGCATTGTTTACTTTCTGTTTTGGCCTCCTGTCCACACTGAGACGGCGTTTTTGCTGATGTAAAACACAGCATTTTCAAAACGCTCTCGAAAACGCATACATTTGAAAGCTGTGCTTTCACTTCGCAGTGTGGACAGTAAAAACTGAGACTTTCTAAAACGATGACGCATTTTAGTCAT